CTACCTGAGCTTGCAGATCTCCAAGGACAGAGCAGCGCGCACCATCACTCTCTCACAGTCTCACTTGGTGCGCCAGGTCCTTCAGAGGTTCGGCCTTCAGTTCTCTTCCGCACAGCCCACCCTTCTGCCAGTAGACCACAAACTCTCTGCCCGAGTCACAGAGGAGGCTGTAGAGCCTAGTGGTCCCTACGCAGAGCTGGTGGGTTGCCTCATGAACCTGATAACTTGCACTCGTCCTGATCTCGCATACCCCCTCAGCATTCTGGCTCGCTTTGTGGCCCCACGCAGACACCAACCACAACACTGGTCGGCAGCTAAGAGGTCGACACCTCACAGGGCTACTCGTTTAGCCTTGGTGCAGGTGCCATGTCGTGGAGGTCCACCCACTCCTCGTCTGTTGCCCAGTCTAGCTGTGAGGCTGAGATCTACGCAGGTGCCATGGCGGCACAGGAGCTCCGCTGGCTGACCTTCTTGCTCACCGACTTGGGTGAGCGGCCTAGGTCTGCCCCGGTTCTGTACGCTGACAACAGGGCCATGATCCTCCTGTGTCAGGAGCCACGACTTGAGGGCAGAGCGAAGCACATCCAGCTTCGGTACTTCCTCCTGCGTGAGCTGCAGCAGCGTCTCCAGTCTCGTGCAGCACACTTGGTCTCCGGTGCCAACACAGCTGATATCTTTGCTAAGGCGGTTGCACTTAAAGATCATCAGCAGCACTGTGCACAGCTAGGAATCGTTCCTGTAGCCTCTCGCTTGCTAGGACCTTGATTGTGTATATACCTTTATATATATTACCCAGACTGGCCTTGTGGCCTCTTCCCAGTGGCTGGACTAGTAGTGCCACCCTGGTCTTGCTCTTGCCTTGTATGTACTTGTTTGACTGGTCTTTAGACCTCTGCCTCAGAGGCTGGACTACTAGTGCCAGCTTGAGCTGTCCCTCTCTCATCAGGCACTGCCCTTATCCATTCTAGGGGGTGTGTCAAACATACAAACATATATTGTATGTTACAATAGACTATATATGGTTGTGCCTTAGGGAGTACAACCCATTAGGTGATATACCCCTGTACCGTATTCCCCTGTATATAACACCCTAGGGTATTGTCAAAAATTCATTAAAAAAACGAAGGGGTGTTAACAGTAGGCTGGAAAAATATAACGCCAATGTCTTATGTATAATGCAAAATGAATTTGGGGCGTAACATGCAGAAATACATGCACAGTACAGGATGACACCTTAAGCGAGGTTTGGATGACGATTCCCAACCTCCACTCGGGCCAGCCTGGCGATAACGTCATGACGTGCTGCATTTGCAGCCAATCCGAGGAAGCTGGTCCTGCCAGCACAAGAGGAAAGCGGCCTCCTGCAAGTGACAAGATTTCATCGACGGCTGTGAATCCCGGGTTTTTACAACGTAACGAAAGTGCGCGACCAGATTCCTTTACGGAAATCTTCTTGATGGGACCAGCATGCATGGTCCCATCGCTTCTTGCAGAGCCGTGCGCGCTTCGGTTAGGGGCGTCGGCCACGGTTCTTCTCCAACCTTCTCTTGCCTCATTGTCATTCTTGCTCCTTGCTCCTCTCAGCCTCAATCAAATTCTTCGCAATGCCCGAGCTCTCTAACAGAGGCTCGGGCACTGCCCAATCTCGCCTATCTCGCTATCCCTCGTCGAAATTTTCCCCCATGGCCGCTCGAGCAATTAATGGTGTGTCACTTTTGCGAGCTCATCGCCCACCCTTCGGGAATCAGACATTGCTCCGTCCTTTCCCACCAGATCCTTCGGCTCCTAGACATCCGCCTGCATCTCCCGCTCCTCCCGCTCCTCCGGCGCCACCGGCGCCACCAGCGCCCCCTGCACCTCCTGCTCCTCCTGCGCCCCCGGCTCCCCCTGCTCCGCCACCTCTCTCGTCGCCAGTGGTCACACGTCCTCCGGAGTGGGATAACGATTGGCAGGATGACGACGACCTGTTTTGGGAGGAGGATGAGGCTGACGACCGCGAGCCTGAACCTCCTCGCCCACTTCCTCGCGTTATCGTCCCTCGTTTCCCGCAAACGCAACGCCATCGTAATATGCCTCTTCGTAACCGTGATGCTGCACCTCCCTCCCCCAGGGCTCGCAGGACGAATCGCAAGCGACTCGCACGGACGGCAACCGAGAAGCTGTACTGGTTGGCGAAGTTGGAGGCGGAGCCGGAGATGTCGAACCGCTCCCTTGCTCGGATGGCTGGAGTGCAGCCGTGCCAGATTCGCGACTGGAGGAAGAACAAGGCACGACTCACTGCCTCGGCTGGCTGCAGGCGTTGCCTCATCGGCTCCGGTAGGAAGGCGAAGTACCCCACCATGGAGCGCGAGCTGTACAAGAAGTTCTTAGGCCAGCGCTCGCGAGGGCTGGCGGTCTCGATCGGCACGCTGCAGAAATGGAGTCGGAAGTACATGCGTAAGCACCACCCCGGCATCGACTGGCGCGCCTTGTCACGGTGGACCTTCCGGTTCCGCGCGCGCTGGGGACTGACGAAGCGCGTGAAGACGAAGATGGGACAGCGCATGACTGCAGGTACGTACTTTGACGTGCCGCGAATACTCCCTGCCCTCGTCTAGCTCTTGTCGTGCTTCCTTGTTTGGTGACCGCACTTATGCTTTCTCTGTTTTTGTTTTTAATTATTTTCATTGGCAGACTGTGACGCGAAAGTCGAGAAGTTCTGGGAGTTTGTTCGGCAGCTCCGCACGCTCAACGACTACCCCGACGATCTGATCATCAACGCGGATCAGACGCCACTATTCTTGGAGATGCCGCAGGAGACCACACTCGAAGTCCGGGGCTCGAGAACTGTCCATGTGCGCACGGCCGGCTACGAGAATGAGAGGCTGACCGTCATGCTGGCCGTCACAGCAAGTGGCAAGAAATTGAAGCCGTACGTCATCTTCAAGCGGAAGACACTACCTCGGATCCGCGTCCCGCCCGGTAAGGATTTCGTGCCTTTTTTTGTGCCGCCACCGCTAATGTTTTTCGTAGCTGTCTTTCCAGGGCAAACTCATATGTCTCGTACTTTGCGCTTGTGCAGGAATTGTGATCAAGGCCCAGGAGAAAGGGTGGATGGACGAGACCCATGTCAAGGACTGGGTCACCACCGTCCTGGTGCCGTTTCTCCGCTCGATACCCTCGCGGCGCGGTGGCCGTCAGAAGGCTCTGGTGGTCCTCGATTCGTACAACGGACACCTGACAAAGGGAGTGTCCCAGTTGATGCGACTCTTCAAGCTGTCGAGGGCTGTCATCCCTGGCGGTTGTACGCCTATCGTGCAACCTCTAGACGTGGCGGTAAACCGGTGCGTCAAGGCGCATGTCCGGAGGTCCTACAGTGAGTGGTTCGAAGAATTCGGCTGCAAGTCCACAACCCCTGCAGGTGAGTAACCATCTTTATTATTTGTCTTTAAAACCTCTACCCGCGCCGTGATTTTTTAAACCATGCCTTGCATTTCTCCACCACTACTCCCAAACCCCCCGCCTACTGTCTCGTCGTTTTGCTTTCCCCTGCAGGGAATCTTCGCAAGCCGCCAGCCGAGCTCGTGCTGCAGTGGATTGCTGACGCCTGGGCCGCGGTGCCAGCTGAGCTCATCCGCCGCGCGTTCAAGACGTGCGGCATTTCCAACGCGACCGACGGCACAGAGGACGAGGTGATCCTCGCCCACATGCGGGACGACGCCGAGGTCGAAGTCATGGAAGATGTCCATGCCGAAATGGAAGAGAGTGGGGCGCTGAACCCATACTACGAGTCGGAATATGTGGAGCCGAGCGCCACGCCGAGCTCGGAGGAAGACGATCCCGATGTCGAGGCGGAGATTGAAGCTGCAGCAAGTGCCTCATCATCCGGTGCATCTGGAGCTGCAACACCCGCGCCAGCATCAGAGGCGTCTGGGAATCCAGGAGCCCGCACAGCAGCAGCAGCAGCAACAACCTCTACAGAAGCAGCGACAGAGGCGGGGATATCAGCTGCCGAAGGCGACGAAGGTCTAGACATGCCTGCGGCGGAGGTTCTGGCGGGCTTGGCTGCATCCCGCTGGACTGATGACTTTGACTGGGATGACATCGCCAGTGACGATGAAGATGCCGAGGTGTGGCATGCAGGAGAGGACTGGCACAATGAGGACGAAGACAGAGACTAACTATTGACTTACCCTGCTAGGACATGTAGCTAGCTGTTGGACTATCAGTGTGTGCTGAGTGAATGGTAGTGGTAGCTAGCTTAGGTAATCAAAAATGCACTAGAAATGCCTCGCACAACGGATAGGCTTTAGACTAGTGTTAAAACTGTTGTCTAATGATAAAACCTTGATGCTAGACCAAGCAAATCCACGAATCCCCGATGGAGGGTGTTATGTAAAATTCGTACTAAAAAAAGTGGGTGCTCTCAAAAATGCACCATATCATAAGCTATCCCCCGCATATGCCACCCATGGGTTGACTATTTCGGCGGGTCTTATATACGGGGGAATACGGTATGTCCATTTCTAGCCAACTTTTCTTACTTCAACAGATGTTGCCTTCTCCATGTGCGGTGTGGTGTCGTTGCCTCTTAATGGTTGTTCTGCCAAGAGCAAGCAGGCTAGCTTTGATCTATCTCGACTACGGTAACATCCATTTATTACCAACCCACCATACAGACACAAGTACACCACGCCACAACCTCCCTTCCCACGCCTGGCATCTGCCTTTCCTTCTCTATCTCCAGTGAGGGTGTCTCCACTCCACTCCACCCTGCTGCAGACACACTCCACTTACAGACTATAGAGTGCCCCCGGCCCCGGCCCTGGCCCTGACCCTGCCACTTGGAGACAACAGAGCACTCAAAGAAATACCCTACCCAACCCTACCCTACCCAAACCTACCCAAACCTACCCTACCCTACCCTACCCTGTCCCACCCTACCCTACTCTACCCTGCTGCATGCTGCTATATTTACACAGTCGCCACTACGCATGCTTGCAGCGCTGCTCCATGTGATCTGGTAACCCGATTACCCCCCATGTTCGACTCGACACGACACACTTGAAACAACCCTTGTAGCTCTGTACATGCCGAATAGCATGGAGCTTTGAGGCTCCCTCAATCTCCACCAAACGACCTCCCAATCTGGTTACACGGTGTTTTACGGCGCTGAAACCCAGTTATCGCCATAACTTGACGCACTTGTAACCCTTGCAGCTACGCACGAAGGGCACGCAGAAATAGCCGGCGCCGCACTGCAAGGGGTGGCAGACGGAGCGCTTCTTCTTGCACGCGCGCTTGCTCTTCTTCCCCCCAGAGGCTGCAGGGGAGGGGCGAGTGGGGGTTAGGAGGGATGTGGGATAGGGAGGGATGGGGGAAAGGGAGGGATGGGGGATAGGGAGGGATGGGGGATAGAGAGGGGTGGGGGATAGGGAGGGATGAGGCACAGCTACACAGTCCCCACAGCACGCCTGCAGATACCACACCCTGTGTAGGGTGCAGTGCTAGATACCAAGTGTAAGTAAGTAGTTTCAAAAACAGTCCACAGCACGCTTGCACATGGCAGACCCAGTGTCGGGTGCAGTGCTAGATACCAAGCACGGCACTCAATCACCATAACAACGCACACACTCACTGTGGCATGGCACACACGCACCATGGCACGTCATGGGCAGCAGGGAGCCCGGTTCAGCAGCAGGAGAGACCTCTGGCGCACACACTCCATTTGCACCGCACGGCTGGACAGTCCCAATGGCATGGCTGCAGATGTCACACCCTGACTCCCTCTGCAGCGCGTCATCCCCAGCATTGCAGTTCACCGCGCTCTGCAGGCAGTTATCGGCGCAGGTACAGCTGGCGAAGGTGGCACCTGAGCTGGGGAAGGTGCCTGTGAGGTAGTTGTGGGGCAGGTGCAGCTCGGAGATCTGCGATCCGACGGCTGGGATCGAACCGGAGAGATAGTTGGAAGCGAGGGAGCTGGAGGGGGGAGAGGGGGGGATGGTGGTGGGGGGGTGGTTGGGAATGGGAGGAAGGACGGATTGCACATTGGAGGGAGCGAGGAAGATGGCAAGGGAGGGAGGGGTGTGGGAAGAAAGTGAGTATGGGTGGTTGGGATCAAGGTGGTTGGGATCAAGGTGGTTGGGATTGAAGCAGAGAGGTAGTTGGAGGCCAGGGACCTGTGAGGCGGAAGGAAGAAGGATGGAGGGAAGGATGGAGGGAAGGATGGAGGGAAGGATGGAGGAAGTCGACTCAAAGGCAGATTTGGAGTGAGAAAGGAAGAGAGTAAGGGAGGGAGGGTTATGGGGGAGAAAGGTTGAAAGGGCAGCAGGAAGAAATATATAAAAGAGCGGAGGGGGAAAGTGAAAAAAAAAGGAGCAGAGCATGGCGATATCTAGGCAGGTATTACATGAAAGTGAGGGTGTCTTTGGCGAGTATGGCGGTGGGAAGGGGGCCATATATAAAGTTGTAACTAATGTCCCTGTAAGGGCGGCAGTGGTGGAGGGGGGCAGGGGTGATACAGTGGTTTACAAGCAGGGGGCAGGAAGACAGGGGCGGAGGGGGCTGCGTTGAGAGATCAACTCAGAGGATTGTTCTCCATAGGATGCTTTTGAGAAGTCTCAAAACAAAGAAACCCTACAAAATAAAAAACTGTTGTCCATAGGAGCAGGTGGAGCATCCGTTCTAAGAGAGGAACTGGTGGAAAAGAACAACAGAAGCTGCAGTTATCAGGTGCTCTCGGGTATTTCAGGTGCTATCAGGCGCTCTCAGGTGCCCTCAGGTGTGTCAGGCGCTCCTAGGTGTTTAAGACACCCTCAGGTGGCTCAGATGCTTTCTCAAGTGCGTCAGGTGCTCTCTCTCAAGTGCGTCAGGTGCTCTCTCTCAAGTGCGTCAGGTGCTCTCTCTCAAGTGCGTCAGGTGCTCTCTCTCAAGTGCTTCAGGTGCTCTCTCTCAAGTGCGTCAGGTGCTCTCTCTCAAGTGCTTCAGGTGCTCTCTCTCAAGTGCGTCAGGTGCTCTCTCTCAAGTGCGTCAGGTGCTCTCTCTCAAGTGCGTCAGGTGCTCTCTCTCAAGTGCGTCAGGTGCTCTCTCTCAAGTGCGTCAGGTGCTCTCTCTCAAGTGCGTCAGGTGCTCTCTCTCAAGTGCGTCAGGTGCTCTCTCTCAAGTGCGTCAGGTGCTCTCTCTCAAGTGCGTCAGGTGCTCTCTCTCAAGTGCGTCAGGTGCTCTCTCTCAAGTGCGTCAGGTGCTCTCTCTCAAGTGCGTCAGGTGCTCTCTCTCAAGTGCGTCAGGTGCTCTCTCTCAAGTGCGTCAGGTGCTCTCTCTCAAGTGCGTCAGGTGCTCTCTCTCAAGTGCGTCAGGTGCTCTCTCTCAAGTGCGTCAGGTGCTCTCTCTCAAGTGCGTCAGGTGCTCTCTCTCAAGTGCTTCAGGTGCTCACAGGTACTGCAGGTTGGGAATGGACGGCAGATTCGCTGCCAGAACCCCCATCTCAGCCACGATGCGATCATTGATGAGAGAGCTGCCAGGGGAGGGAGGGGGGTCATTAGGGGAGCTTGTGGGAGCTGCGGGAAAAGGAGGGGGCCGTGCAGCATGGTGCCACCGCGCCCAGCTCAGCCACAAAACGATCATTGATGAGAAATCTGCGAGGGGAGGGAGGATATCAGGGGAGCTTGTGGGGGGGGGGGAGGAGGAGGGGAGTAAGGCACGGATCACAGGTACTGCTGGTTGGGAATGGAGGGCGGATTCTGTGCCAGCACGCGCAGCTCAAGCCTGATGCAATCATTGCTGAGAGAGCTGCCCTAACTTACATGCGAGTGAGGGCAGTCAAAGCAGACCCCCATAACCCTAACCCCCAAACCTGAAACCTTAAAGCTTAAACCCCAGATCTTGGACCCTTCAACACGCTAGCATGCGAGTGAGGGCGGTCAGAGCAGACCCCCATAACCCTGAACCCCAAACCGAGACCTTAAAGCTTAAACCCAACGTATTAAACCCCAACCTCAACGCGCTCACATTTGAGTGAGGGCGGTCAGAGCAGACCCCCATAACCCTGAACCCCAAACCGAGACCTTAAAGCTTAAACCCAACGTCTTAAACCCCAACCTTAACACGCTTACATGTGAGTGAGGGCTGTCAGAACAGACACTTGACTTGAAAAGCTCCCAGAAAGCTTCTGAAGGTTGATAGCTCTGCTCACAGAAACAAAGTAGCATAAATATTTGTAAAACCATTCAGCTCGCATGCACATTGTAACAATAGTGAAATTGCAAAGACTTTACCATCCCTTACAGCACCACCACCCCTTATAGCACACCCCTTAAAGCACACCCCTTACAGCACCCCCCCTTACAGCACCACCACCTCCCCTCGCTCACAAGGCAGTCAGTCAGGTCACCATTGCACGTGAAATCTGTCCACCATAACCCTAAACCCGAAACCCGACCCTAAACCTGAAAGCTTACACCAGAAACCCCGAAACCCAAACCCTTGTTGGAGTTAGGCTGCAATGTTGCAAATCTGTATAGGGTTAGGAATGTTTGTTAGGTTGGGTGTAGCTTTTCCATCCCCAACCTATCCCAACCCAATCCATCCCAACCCAAATCCCCACGATTTGGGAGGATTCCCTTGGGATTCCCTCCGATTCTCCCCATCGCAAAAAGTGCAACGTTAGCGGATCGTTTACGCCATTCGAAGCTGGCCGCATAGTCGGAAATCGTCCGCCAGGTGTTCGCCAAGTGTTTTTTTCCTGTTTCGTTTAACGTAAATGGTTTGCGAGTCTTCCGCGAATGAGTTGTTTCGCGAATGAGTTGTTTTGTAAATGTTACACCTTGATAATAATCTTGTTCTGATGGCTTATATTTCCATACAGAATCGGTCAGTCTACACTAAAACTTGTACAAAGTTTATAACATCGATCCGGGGAAGCTGAAATGTTAAAATAAACGAATTGTGTGTTTATGATATTTTTATGATAGTAAACGTACTACTACTTCTAATTTGGGCAATGTCTTTGTAGAAACAGCAAGTGCAAAGTAAGGTATTGATCTCTTCAAGTGATGGTTTTATTTGGTTCCCCTCAAGATTCGAACTCGGATCTTCCAACTGTGCTACGTGCAAAAATTACTCAAAAACGAGGTTCTCCCAGGGATCGAACCCGACTCTTCACATGTGTGGATTATGACTTACTATCCGCACTGCGTATCTACTTTATATTTAAATGTTTTAAAATATAACAACTGCTTATAAGGTCGTAGTCCAACAGAATCGCGGTTCCAATCCAGCTAGACAAAATTTTGAGATACCGAACTGAACCAAATTGAATCGCAAATTACAGCGTATTCTAGCGCGCACGTAACCTGAAATCCAGAAATATTTGCTTAATATTTGTGTACATGGAAACACGCCCCGATTCACAACAACATGACGTGCATATAGAAACACGCCCCAACCACACTCCCACCCCCTACCATACCTGCACTTTGTTCCAACCAATCCCAACCCAATTTCCCTAACCAACTCAGCCCATGCACCTCCCCCAACCAATCGAAATCGGCCGAGCGATTCCAGCACGGCTAAATCCAGCTCAACCCCCTGCTCGCCCCAACCACCCAGCCCACCACGTTGCACACTTCACATGCCAGCAGTCCTTGCCAGCACAGACTTCTGATCCTTCCTTATCTGCCCCCTTGCGCCCACTGATGTCTTTCAGCTAGACTTTTCTTACAGTATTATTCATCGGCAGTTCAATCTGTATCAGTTTCAGCCCCCCCTCTTGCCTTCGCACCCCCTTAGTGATTAGCTTCTTCCTCTGCCAGACTTTAACCAGTTACCATGGTCGTTCTTGGTTTACGATAACATGAGTATGTCATTTCGCGATAGCTGTTATTTCTATCGTTTTAATCTTCTGGTACTAATTAGCTTGTAAGTGGCTATTGTTGTTCACAATTGTCCTTCTTATTGGCAGGTTCATGAGCTAATACGTCTTCGGGGTTGAAGGCATTTGTTAACTGGAGTTTCTATCTAACTATGTTTTGCCTGTGTGCTCACGATGCTCGTCTTTATCGCAGCTAGCCATGTAACTCAGTCCAGCATAAAGATTATTCTTCCGGTAAGCGCGTCTCTTAGTCTCGCCAATCGTTTATTCGTCGGACTAATTTCACGACAATGTCTAAGCTGACGTGCAGAGATTTGTAGCCAACCTCGAGGCACCCCTCGTAAGCCTCGTGTTGAAAGTCTGGTTGTTTGGAATTTAACAAATGGTTGAACCTGATGCGCAGGAATTTATTACCAAGGCCGCGCTACTTTCCCATAGTAAGAATTGTTATTATGTTGGTAATTTGGACATTGGGCTTACTTTGAAATGAATTCTTACTTCACATGGAGGAATAGCAAGTCGGCGTCAAGAATTTACGTTGTCGGCAACGTCGTTGGTGTGCCGCCGCTCTGTTTCTGTTCGTGGTAGTGCGGGACGGGCATGCTGCATACGTTATTAGGTTGTTGGGGGCTTGCATATTTCTAGGTAATTAGGTTGGTAACCACTGGTAGAAATTGTGTATATCGTTTGTAATGGTGGTACATTTACTTTTATGAATAACATCATTTGATACACCTATGGTCAACAGAACAAAAAGAATGGATGGCAAGAATGCAAAATCATTTTCATACAAATCCAAAGCAGCATCAAAATATGCATTGCAATGCATTTGACGAAACACTATATTGCATTCGAGACAACACCGCCCATCGTTTCCGAATGCTCGCGCGGAGTGTTTAGGCAAATGTTGTCCAAGCATTCGCAAAGTGTTCGAATCTTAGTCCGCACGGTATTTACACCCACTTGTTCGCAAAACGTTTGCAAAGCATCCGCACAGATAATTCGCGAACGTTTTGCGAGCACACCTTTTTTGCGATGCCTTATCCCTTCCAATCCTCTCCGATGCTTGGTACTTAAGCCGGTTTGCCCTCTCTCACTTAATCAACTGCCGTTTTCTTACAACCCTCACATGGCAGTCGGGTGTCCCTCCCCATTGCACGTGACAGCTGTCCACCCGTGAGTGGTCGAATCCGTCCCCCGCTCCACGCTGCACAGGGCGCCCTGTAGCCAATCGGTGAACGGCACGTGGAGGCTTTTCTTGAGTGCCAGCATGGCAGCTGCAGCAGCGGGAGCCATGGCTACTGGCAGAAAAGAATCCCTGGATGCTGCAGAGGAGAGGTGAAGAACGGAGAGGAGAGTTGAAGAATGGCGAGGAGAGGTGAAGAACGGCGAGGAGAGGTGAGGTGAGGAGAGGCGAGGGGATTGGGGTGATAAGTGATTCTTTAGTCGGCTAAAAAATCACTGGCAGAGGAAAGCAGAGGAGTTATAAGGGAGCAAGGAGGGAGAGGAAGGCGAAACAAGGAGGAACGAGGAAGGAGAGGGAGGGGAAAGGGGGCAAGACGGTTTTGAGGCGCCTTAAAAGCATGCTGCCATGGCTACAGCCTACTACAGGCAGCACGATTCCCTGGATGCTGCAGAGGCAAGGAAAGGAGCTCTCAGGGAGAAGGGAGGGAGAGGGAGGGGGGGAAGGAGGGAGAGGAATGGGGAACGTTGAAAGCTCAAATGGTCAAGTCCTGTAACAATATGCCTTGCAGGGGAAACAATGGGAAAGAGAGGAGAACAGAGGGAAGGATTGACCTTACCAAGGACCAATTGAGGAGAACAGAGGAAGAAAACAGAGGGGAAAAGGGAGGTGAGTGAAACGTTCGAAGAGAAGTGCATCCGGCACATACCTAAACGGGAGGTGAGAGGTACGAAGAAAAGTGCAGTGCATCCTGCACTTACCTAAACAATTGACCTCCAAAAGCTCCAAGGCAAACGCTTACTAAAGCAGGACATGGGATACGACAAGGTTGCCAAAGCTGCCATTGCTGACTGCGTTGACTGAGTTGACTGCATTGACTGAGCCCTCCTCATAACCATAAGATTCGGAGCACAGACCTCCCCCTCCGCACACCCTCCTCCGCAGATGGCGCACTCAGAGGCGCTGCGCTGGTTACCAGCACCAGCCTCGGAAGTGTTACAGACAGAGACGTCGGTGAGGCAGTTGGTGTGGGCGGAGCAGGCGGGGAGAGGAGTGGAGGGTGTGGGGAAGGACGAGGAGAGGTAGTTGGAGGAGAGGGAGAGGGAGAGCAGCTGAGAGCCCACTGCAGGGATGGAGCCGGTCAGGTCGTTGCCAGAGAGGGTCCTGCGGGGAGGTAGAGGGGGAGGGGGGAAGAGGAAGCCTTATTTGATGGAGACGTAGTTAGAGAGGAGAGGTGGTTAGAGAGGAGACGTAGCTAGAGAGGACGCATCTAGAGAGGTGTGGAAGTTAGAAAGGAGAGCCCCTTGCAATAAACCCCTTGAAAGGAGGAGCAATAAACCCTCGTCTGTATCCCTTGCTACCTAATACAGAGGAGCACTTGAGGAGAGTATTTTGAGTCGACTCAAAATACAACCTAATACAGAGGGCGACTTGAGGAGAGGTAGGGCAAGGGAGCATTCTTACAGCTACGTAAGAAGATAAATGGAAATTGAATGGTGAGCAGAGGAATGGAGATTGATGAAGTGACTTTTGAGACGACTCAAATGCAGGGTCCTTCAAAGGCTTCCTTACAGCGACTTTTTTGCTAAAAGATTTTCCTCTCCGCTGCTGCCCACCCTAACGCTTAATGGCTACAAATGCAGGGTCCTTCGAAGGCTTCCTTACAGCGACTTTTTTGCTAAAAGTCCACTGAGAGCCCACTGCAGGGATGGAGCCGGTTCTTCAAAGGCTTCCTTACAGCGACTTTTTTGCTAAAAGTCCACTGAGAGCCCACTGCAGGGATGGAGCCGGTCCTTCAACGGCTTCCTTACAGCGACGTGAGCGTCGGAATGGTGAGCAGAGAGGAATGGATCGGGCCATAGAGAACGTTGCTGCTGAGGTCGCTGGAGAGATGGGCAGCAGAGAAAGCATGAGTGGGAGGGTGTAAGAATTATTGAAAGGGTGGCGACGGACAAAATGACCTAAGGGACAACAGTGGGTACTATACCTAAAGCGCAGGGACGTATGGGCATGCTTACAAAAGTCATGGCCTAACTTCCTTACTTTACTCAAAGTCATGTCCTAAGCTGTGTTGGCATAAACGCGTTTCCGCGTTTTTGCGTTTCGTTCCGAACGCTTGCGTTCACGACGCAAAACGCAGGATTCTAGGCTTCAAATACGCTCGGAAAACTGATGCCCGGGCAGGCCAAATTTTTTGGCCGGGCAGGGGGAAGAGGGGGAGAGGGGGGGAGGTGGGGAATGGCGGAGGGGTTGACCACCGGCTCGGCTTCAGCGCGACTCGAGGCTATGGTGCTCTAAACGTGTTTCGCGTATGAAACGCTACGCGGAAATTGCGTGAGCTGGCGCGCGCGGTTTTGGGCCTTGTCGCAAAACGCCAAGGGAGGTGAGGGGGGGAGAGTGGAGCATTTCAGTTCAGTTCCAGGCAGCCCGAAACATTTTCGACGTGCGTTCGAGTGTTTTGACTCGTTTTTGCGTTTTGTGTTAAAACGCAAAACGCAAACTAGCAAAAGCGTTTTTGTCAACATAGGTCCTAAGCGCAGGGACATATGTGCATGGTTAAAGGTGCTTGCGGGACGGGAGGCGTGATAACTGCCACGCAAAGCATTTCTGAGGTGCCTAACAGATCGGCAGATGCATGCTCTGCTCTGATGCATGCTCTGCTCTGATGCATTCTCTGCTCTGATGCATGCTCTGCTCTGATGGATGCTCTGCTCTGATGCATGCTCTGCTCTGATGCATGCTCTGCTCTGATGCATGCTCTGCTCTGATGCATCCTCTGCTCTGATGCATGCTCTGCTCTAATGCATGCTCTGCTCTGATGCCTGCTCTGCTCTGATGCATGCTCTGCTCTGATGCATGCTCTGCTCTGATGCATTCTCTGCTCTGATGCATTCTCTGCTCTGATGCATGCTCTACTCGGATGCACGCTCTGCTCGGATGCATGCTCTACTCGGGTGCACGCTCTACTCGGATGCACGCTCTGCTTACAGGTGCTTGAGGGACGTGAGGCGAGACAGATGCCAGGCGAACGCCTTGAACTCGGTATAGATGCTGTTCCCTGGGAGAGCACTGGAGGGGGGAAGGGGGACAGGGGGGAGAAGGGGGAGAGAGGAGCATGTGAGATGAGAGTAAGGGAGAGGGAGGAGGTGAGATAGGTTCCACCCAAATGACTTGGGGGAGAAGGTGTGATAGGCAGCTCGGCATAGATGAAGCTTTGGGGGAGAGCACTGGGGTGGAGAGTGGAGAGAGGAGATTGGGGGGAGAGGGGAGAGAGGGGAAGGGAGAGAAAAGGGGAGGAGGGAGAGGAGAGGGGAAAGGGAGCAGCAAGTGGGATGAGAAGCGGGCGAGAGCAGATACAAAGGCATCAGACGCTTTTGAGGCTTCACAAGCTTTTAAGGCATCAGACGCTTTTGAGGCTTCACAAGCTTTTGAGGGTACTAAGCCCCTGGAGGTGACTCACATGCTTGAGAGCGCCTGGAGGGTTGAGACGACAGAAGGGAACGACGGGGCTGGGAGGAGAAACTGACCCGTCGTGGCCGCGATGTCACTGCAACGAGGGGGGGGGCACAGGTGAGTGAAATGCAGGTGAGATCCCAAAGGAGCGAACTGCAGGTGATTCTGGAGTGGACTAAAACAGGGATCTCGAGGCTTTGAGGAGAAAGTGACCCGTGCCCGCTGTGATGCTGCTGCAACAAGGAGACTCGTAAATGCAGGGCACCATGCTCGTGCCATCACTCACACAAGCAGAGAGTTGATCATGGCAATAATTACTGAATGCTATGATGATTCACATGCTCATGCAAAAATGATTCACAAGCTCATGTGATCATGACTCACATGGCGATGGGGTGGCCTTGGGAGTCGCAACGCACGCCAGTCCAGCCGTGGGGGGTGAGCATGGAGCCTCCGGAGACAAGGCAAAGGGAGGCAGCGGTCCAGTCGGTGAAGGTCACTCCCAGAGACCTCCTCAGCAGCAGCATCGCAACGGCTGGGGTGGGGGGGGGGTGGGGGGGAGTGGGGGGGATGGGGGGAAGTGAGGAGGGGAGAGGGAGACAGAAGCTAGAAGAGTGGCAGGCAATTGTGAGAAGGCAGAGAGAGGCAGCAGGCCAGACGGTGAGGATCTTCAGCAGCAGCATCACCGTGGCTGGGGTGTGGGAGGAGGGAGAGGGAGACAGAAGTTAGAGGAAAGGCAAACGTGAGAAGGTGAATGGGGAGACCTTGAGTCGACTCAACAGGAGTCTCTGGGAGGAAGGCAGCTGGAGGCATTGGTCCAATCTGTGAGGGTCACTCCCAGAGATCTGCTTGGTGTCCGCATGGTCGCAGACTCTCACCTGCACTTGTGTGGATCACTCTTGGTGGGACAGTTGAGTCGACTCAAATGTCAGGAAGAACAACACGTGGCCCAGGGCAGCGCCTTAGTGACTTTTGAGTCGACTCAAAGGGTTGGTGTCCGCATGGCTGCGGCCTCTCACCTGCACAAGTGTTGAGCTGGTTATTGAGAATTCTTAAAAACCCGGTCGCTGCCTCTCACCTGCACTGGTGTGCATCAATCTTGGTGGGACAGAATCGATGGACACTGTATGGTTTGGGGGGGGTAAGGTAAGAGCCAAAAAGCACACACACAGAGGATAGTACATTTTAGAACGTGTTGACAGCACAAGGTGTTGACAGCACAAGGTGTAACAGCAACAGATGGCACGAAACAAAAAGAAGGAATGGAAGAAGGGAGAAAAAAAAAAAAAAAAAAAAAAAAAAAAAGACTCCCCAGCCATACTAGGTTTGACCAGCGGCAGCAGAAAGTAACCCATCATGGGGAGGTTCGACTCAAACAACATAGTGCATTCCATGGCGATAATACTCCCCGACGCAAACCCTTCCTCCACCAGAGGCGCGCATGCCTCCGCCTTGCCAGACGAGGTGACATTTGAGTCGACTAAAGCACAGCATGAGGAGCGGACCCTCGGACTAAAGGCGTGCTAGTAACAACAAGTAACATACCAGCGCACTCCATGGGGACAATACTCCCCGGCTCAGACCCTGCCTCCACCAGAGGCGCACACGCCTCCCCCTCACCACACCCCCCCCCACAGATGGTCCCACAGTCCCCACTTGGCCTCAAAAAGCCCCTACACCCAGTGAAATCCGTTAGGCAGGTGGAACTGGCGAAGCAGGAGGCGAGAGTTGTGGGGGGAGTGGGGAAGGAGGAGGAGAGGTAGTTGGAAGCGAGGATGAGCCCGACCAGCGGAGAGACCAGCTGTGGGATGGAGCCGGTTAGGTAATTGACAAACAGTGCCCTGGGAGAAGGGGGTTGGGGAAGGGGGAAAGGGGGGGGGGGGAGGGGGGGTCAATAAGGCAATCAGGAGGACCAGTCATCCCAGCCCACTACTTAAGCGCTGCTGCGCTGCTCACAGTCCCAGCCTCTCTGGTCGAGCGAGCACGCAACTCACAGAGACTTGGTTTCTACAACGAGGAATTGGGCCCTGCAGAACTCCAAGGGCCGGCATGTTGACTCAAGTGAGCGTGTGACACACCGGGACTTGGAAACACAGGGACCTTGACGCACAGGGACCTTGACGCACAGGGACTTGGACGCACAGGGACCTTGACGCACAGGGACTTGGACGCACAGGGACTTGGACGCACAGGGACCTTGACGCACAGGGACTTGGACGCACAGGGACCTTGACGCACAGGGACTTGGACGCACAGGGACTTGGACACCCAGGGACTTGGATGCACAGGGACTTGGTTCTGACAACGTAGAATTGAGCCTCACAGGGTTGTGAGGGCGGGCATGGTGACCAGCGCAGCAGGGATGGAGCCGTAGAGGAAATTGTAAGCCATGTCACTGCAAGGGGGGAGCGGGGGAGGGTGAGGAGGAAGAAGGTGTGTGCGAGGGAGGGAGGGGAGAGGGCTTAAAGCGCGTGGTGATGAGGGCAGCAGAGATGGAGGCGTAGAGGAGATTGGCAGCCATATTGCTGCAAGGAGGGAGCGAGGGGGGGAGGTTGGGGGGGGGGGGGCTTCAAGTGCATGGTGGGGGGTGCAGGCGGCAGGATGGTGGCATCGAGTAAATCGGCAGGCAGACATGCTGCTGCTAGGGGGGAGACAGGCAGACATGCTGCTGCTAGGGGGGAGAGGAGGGGCGGGTGAGGAGGACGGGGTGTGGGGGGGGGCGGGGAGGAGGAGGAGGCTTGAAAGGTTTGGTGAGGAGGGCAGCAGAATGGTGTCGTAGTGTAAGTTGGCAGGCAGACATGTAGCCGCAGGGGGGGAGAGGAGGGGCGGGTGAGGAGGACGGGGTGTGTGGGGGGGGGAGCGGAGCAGGGGGTTGTCAAATGCATGGTGAGGAGCGCAGCAGGATGGTTCCATAGGGTACAATACATTTGCAGGCCAACATGTAGCTGCAAGAGGAGTGGGGGGGGGGAGGGGGGAGGGGGGAGGGGGGAAGGGGGTGGGGAGGGAAAAGTATATCTTCACCTAGTGACGTGTGTATAAGATGTCCGCTAACAGGTGCTGCAGATTGGTGACGGCAGACAAGAGCTGGGTTTGAGTCGCGTCAATAAGAGATTCACTTACAAGTGCTGCAGGCCAGAGACGGCAGACAGGTGCTGGGTAAAGGCCTTGAGCTCTGCATGGATACGCAGGTGGCGGAGCATGCTGCAAGGGAAGTGGGGGTGGGGGGATGTAAGGGAGGGGGGGGGGGGGGTGGGAGGTTGGGGGGTGGGGGGGTGTGGGGGTGGGGAGAAGAGCGTAAAGGCCTTCAGCTCTGCATGGACACGTTTTCGGCGGAGGGTGCTGCAAGGGAAGAGGGGGGGGTGGGTCTGGTTTTGAGGCGCCTCAAAAGTAGCTGGTGACGGCAGAGAGGTGCTGGATGAAGGCCCCTCTGCACGGATGCGCGCTTGCAGAGGGTGCTGCGAGGGACGAGTGGGGGGGAGAGTGGGGGGAAGAGTGGGGGGGAGAGTGGGGGGAAGAGTGGAGGGGAGATTGGGGGGAAGAGTGGGGGGGAGAGTGGGGGGAAGTGTGGGGGAAGGTGTGGGGGTTGTGGGTAGAAGAACGTAAAGGACTTGAGCTGTGCATGGGAGAAGATGGGGGGGGGAGGAGAAAGGGAGAGAGTGGGGTGTATGGGGTAAGGACTTGAGGGGGGAGCGGGGTGGGGAGTGGGGGGAAGAGTGGGGGGGGGGGTGGGGGGATAAGATAAAGCACTTCTCCTAGCTTTGGAGCCGGATGTGATACGGAAGAATGTTGTAGCACACATGCACGCACACATGCATAGACGCACCCATGCATGCACACATGCACGCACACACGCATACACGCACGCATGCATGCAGACATAAACACACACTTGCACACACGCGTGCACGCACACAGGACGAGTCTACAAGGGCTTACATATGGGTGAGTTGGAGCCAAGTCAAAGTGATTCCGTGTGATTGCACCAAAGGCGCCAATGGCTTACATGTAGGTGAGGGCAGTGAGGTTGGAGAGTTGGAGGGGCAGAGGACCAGCGCTGAATGGGGAGCCACCGAAAAACGTGCTGTTGGGGCGGGAGTGAAGGAGGGAGGGAGGGAGGGAGGGAGGGAGGGAGGGAGGGAGGGAGGGAGGGAGGGAGGAGGGAGGGAGGGAGGGAGGGAGGGAGGGAGGGAGGAGGGAGGGAGGGAGGGAGGGAGGGAGGGAGGGAGGAGGGAGGGAGGGAGGGAGGGAGGGAGGGAGGGAGGGAGGGAGGAGGGAGGGAGGGAGGGAGGGAGTGAGTGAGGGAGGGAGGGAGGGAGTGAGGGAGGGAGGGAGTGAGTGAGGGAAGAAGGGAGGGAGGGAGTGAGGGAGGGAGGGAGTGAGTGAGTGAGGGAGGGAGGGAGGGAGGGAGGGAGGGAGGGAGGGAGGGAGGGAGGGAGGAGGGAGGGAGGGAGGGAGGGAGGGAGGGAGGGAGGGAGGAGGGAGGGAGGGAGGGAGGGAGGGAGTGAGGGAGGGAGGGAGTGAGGGAGGGAGGGAGTGAGTGAGGGAGGGAGGGAGGGAGGGAGTGAGGGAGTGAGTGAGTGAGGGAGGGAGGGAGTGAGGGAGGGAGGGAGTGAGTGAGGGAGGGAGGGAGGGAGGGAGGGAGGGAGGGAGGAGGGAGGGAGGGAGGGAGGGAGTGAGTGAGGGAGGGAGGGAGGGAGGGAGGGAGTGAGTGAGTGAGTGAGGGAGGGAGGGAGTGAGGGAGGGAGGGAGGGAGTGAGGGAGGGAGGGAGGGAGTGAGGGAGGGAGGGAGGGAGGGAGGGAGGGAGGGAGGGAGGGAGGGAGGGAGGGAGGGAGGGAGGGGAGGGAGGGAGGAGGGAGGGAGGGAGGGAGGGAGGGAGGGAGGAGGGAGGGAGGGAGGGAGGGAGGGAGTGAGTGAGGGAGGGAGGGAGGGAGTGAGGGAGGGATTGAGTGAGGGAGGGAGGGAGGGAGTGAGTGAAGGAGGGAGTGAGTGAAGGAGGGAGGGAGGGAGGGAGGGAGGGAGGGAGGGAGGGAGGGAGGGAGGGAGGGAGGGAGGGAGGGAGGGAGGGAGGAGGGAGGGAGGGAGGGAGGGAGGGAGGGAGGGAGGGAGGGAGGAGGGAGGGAGGGAGGGAGGGGGTGAGTGAGGGAGGGAGGGAGGGAGTGAGGGAGGGAGGGAGTGAGTGAGTGAGGGAGGGAGGGAGGGAGTGAGGGAGTGAGTGAGTGAGGGAGGGAGGGAGGGAGTGAGTGAGGGAGGGAGGGAGGGAGGGAGGAGGGAGGGAGGGAGGGAGTGAGTGAGGGAGGGAGGGAGGGAGTGAGGGAGGGAGGGAGTGAGTGAGGGAGGGAGGGAGGGAGTGAGGGAGGGAGGGAGGGAGGGAGGGAGGAGGGAGGGAGGGAGGGAGGGAGGAGTGAGGGAGGGAGGGAGGGAGGGAGGGAGGGAGGGAGGGAGGGAGGGAGGGAGGAGGGAGGGAGGGAGGGAGTGAGTGAGGGAGGGAGGGAGGGAGTGAGGGAGGGAGGGAGTGAGTGAGGGAGGGAGGGAGGGAGTGAGGGAGGGAGTGAGGGAGGGAGTGAGGGAGGGAGGGAGGGAGTGAGGGAGGGAGGGAGTGAGGGAGGGAGTGAGGGAGGGAGGGAGGGAGGGAGTGAGGGAGGGAGGGAGGGAGGGAGTGAGGGAGGGAGGGAGGGAGTGAGGGAGGGAGGGAGTGAGTGAGGGAGGGAGGGAGGGAGGGAGGGAGGGAGGGAGGGAGGGAGAGAGACTGTGAGCGAGGAAGGTACATGGGTGAGGGAAGAGAGGTTGGAGAGGCGGACGGGTAGAGGGCCAGAGCTGAGGGGGAGGCGGAATGAAAAACGCTGTTGCAGAGGTGGGGGCGGCAGGGAGGGAGGGAGAGTGAGGGAGGGAGTGAGGGAGGAAGGGAATAGTGAGAGAGGGAGGGTGAGGGTGAGAGAGGGGAGGGTGAAGGCTGGAGGGGGGTTTATTCAAAAGAACACAAGCTTGCAGCGGAGATGGGATGGGGGAAAGTTAAGGGGGGGGGAGGGGAGGGGAGGGGGGGGGGGGTGGGGAGGGGGAGTGGAGGGGATGGGGAGGGGGAAGAGGGGGGAAGGGAGAGGAGGAGGGGGGGGAAGGGAGGGGGAGGGGGGGATGGGAGGGAGGTTGATTCTAGAGGTCTTCAGAGAGGCAACTCACTCACTCACATGTCGGTGTCACTCACATGTCGGTGTCACTCACATGCCATTGCAGAACACATTGGACCACCCATCAGTAGAGTTCAAGGAGCAAGGCAGACAGGAAGGGGGTCTGCCAGGAGGCCTTCACAGAGGCACCTTACTCACTCACTTGTCAGTGACCTGGCCATCGCCGTTGCAGAGCACATTGGTCAACCCACCCACGCGTGCGCAGTGCTGCGCGCATGTCACCCCACCTGTGCGCATTGCTGCGCGCTTGTCAGAGGCATCGCCATCGCCGCAGCACAGAGGTCCACCCAGAGCGAGGTCACTCTGTCTGGAGGTCCAAACATAGGTCCACACAGAGGTCCACACAGAGGTCCACACAGAGGCACCACACAGAGGCACCTCACTCACTCACATGTCAGTGACCTGGCCATCGCTGTCGCAGTACACGTTGGTCCACCCATCAGTGGGGCCGCACGTGGCAAAGCAGCAGCCAAGGTCTGCGTTCCAGTTGCTATAGGTCACACCGAGGGCGGACTTGAACGCCTGCAGCGCACCCACTGAGGAGGAGACAGAAGGGGGAGACAGAAGGGGGAGGCAGAAGGGGGAGGCAGAAGGGGGAGACAGAAGGGGGAGGCAGAAGGGGAGGCAGAAAGGGGGAGGCAGAAGGGGGAGACAGAAGGGGGAGGCAGAAGGGGGAGGCAGAAGGGGGAGGCAGAAGGGGGAGGCAGAAGGGGGAGGCAGAAGGGGGAGACAGAAGGGGGAGGCAGAAGGGGGAGGCAGAAGGGGGAGGCAGAAGGGGGAGGCAAGGGGACGAAGAGGGTGGAGGGAAAAGATAAGGAGAGTGAAGGTGTGGGCGCCAGTTTGTGTGGGTCCCGCCGAGAGCCGACCTGACCGCCAGCAGCACACCCACTGGGGGAAAGGGGGAGGCAGAAGGGCCAGGAGGGGAGGAAAGGGCAAGGGGCGAAGAGGGTAAGGGGAGGAGATAAAGGGAGCAGCAGACCCACTGCGGCAACGGCAAGGGAGGGGTGCATGAGACGCACGCACCTGATGAGGCGTCCAAGAGCTGGCCAGCGCCCACCCCGAGGGGAGGCACGAGCAGAGTGCAGAGCAGCAGCAGAAGCAGGGGGCAGGGAAGCAGGAGGCGAAGCAGGAGGCGAAGCAGGGGCGGAGCGGATTGCTGCTGGAGGCGCAGCTGGGAAGTGGCCATGAGCTTGGAAGGCGCAACGCAGGGACTTGACAATCCGAGTTAGAGGCGGAGGGAGGCTAGTGTTGGGATTGGTTGGGACGACTAAAGCGAGGACTTGAGGCAGCGTTGGCTAGAACGCCAAGGAGTGCAGAGGTACAGCTTTGAGACGTCTCAAAAGTGGAAAGCGGAGGCGCGGCGACGGAGTGAATGGCCAGGGGGAAGGCCAGGGGGAGGGGGGATGCGAGGAGCTCGAGGGTGAACGATCAGGGAGCACAGATCTGCCTGCTGCTAGTGCTTAGTCCGCCGGAATACTAGGAGAAACCATGGGCCGTCCAGTACATCAAGAAGAGTACCAACTTGCCAAATTTGCCATTTAGGTTCCTGCGCTCCTGGGAAGCGTTCAGCACTGTTTAATCCAACCTTGTGGTGAAGAGGGGCGCTAACAGGTAGGCAGCAACAACCCACACATTATGCCACACATGCCCTTCGGAGCACTACAGGAAAAGCCGCACCTTTGCCGCGGAAGCGGCACAATACGCCACGGCCTGCACCACTTGGTTCAAGCTGGCTCCTCTCTTTCCCTGTGTGTGAATTTTGCTTCTGAGTCGACTCAAAATCACCTCGGCCCGTGAAACATCGTGCAGGCAGGCTCCTATCGGCGCTGCACAATCCTGTGGGAGGGGGCGGGAGAGAGTCCCCCCCAGCGCCGTTCCAGCACGGCAGAGTCTAACCGCTTCCACGAAAGCGGCACCACCTGCTTCACATGATGGTGGTGCCGTCGAAACTGATCCTGTTGTTGACTGTTCCCCTGACTGCCCCCATAACTCTTCCGTAGCTGTCACCTGTGACTGTAAACCACTACAGGATGACAGTGCTCCGTCGGACTGACCCACTACAGGATATAACTATTCAGTCGGGTCGCGCCGCGCGGTTCTCTTTCGTGGGCGGATCTTGCTGTCCGTCTGTCTCAAGGAACTGTCAGCATGAGCCAGACAGGTTGCCACCGTCACAGTGTATGTGAGCCCCCAAAAACGACCTCCAGTGTGGGTCATTGGCGTTGGTGCCCCCCATTCCAACCGCTGGTTCTTTCATGGCGGATCTTGCTGTCTGTCCCAAGGAACCCTGCCAGCTGTCAGTCACTGACGGTTACAAGCTGTGAGCCAGCTGTCGAACCCAAGGAATTTGTCAGCATGAGCCCCTAAGTCCGACCCTCCGGTGTGGGTCATTCTAGCCGCGGTGGTGACTAGTTTCAACCGTGGCTAGTTTCTTGTGTTCGTAGCCGAGGCTAGTAGTAGTAGCGAACAAACGGCGGCTTCTGGAAAGAGCATGTGCTATCTCTCGGACATCTCAAACCGAAACTGCTAACACCACGAGCAGCACGCGCGGAATCATCACGATTCGCGGAGCGCCCTGCTTTCGCGGGAAAGGGTGTCCAAAAGAGGAATGAAGGGGTTGGTTGGAAAGAGAATGGGGCGCCACGGAGCTGGGTTCTTTGAAACCTAACCTGCGCGTATCGTGGCTATCGTGTCATTTGCACTTCCTCTCGTGATTCAGTACTGCGGAAGGCCTATCGTAATATGCACATGGTGTACACCCTTGGGAGTAACATGCGGCGCGGGTGGATTTTTGAAACCTAACATGAGCGCATCGTGGCTATCGTGTCTTCCTGCACACCTCTGCATCGGAAGTCCCGGTTGCACATGCCGTTTGCCTACACTGGCTGTCGCGGCGTTCGGGTGCTGCTGACCAGGCCTCTCGATAGCAGGGTAATTACCCTGCTTACTCAAGGAAAACAGGGTACTTTTAGTGTACTACCCTGATTTCTACGCATCCAGATTTGAAGTACACGTCCTCTAGCAGCCTAGGCAACAGCATTCCACGTCCGATTTCCGAGTAGTGGAATGTATCGCCCTGTAACATCCGTATGTAAGGCCTGGTTACCCAGCTAGAATCCCCTCTTCTCCGTTGAGGGAGGGATTCGGGCAAAACCGCTCCCGAAATCCCAAGTGGCCCGTTTGGGTTTTAGGCAAGCGCGCCAGACCCTGATTGGATGTTGCAGCTTCCCCAACCAAGCCTGTCTAACTCAAACTCGTTACCCCCAACCAAGCCTCTCTGAACCAAACATTTCCCCCAACCAGGCCTCTCTGAACGAAACTCATTTCCCCCAACCGAGCCCCTCTCAGCCAAACTCGTTCCCCCCAATGAAGCCTCTCTCAGCCAAACTCGTTCCCCCAACCAAGCCTCTCTCAGCTAAGCTCGATTTCCCAAAGAGGTTTGGTTGGGGAAACGTGTTTTCCTGGACCACGCCTCTGTGCTTCATATAAGTGGGGCATTTGTATCTGTGGGTAGGGTAATTTTTTGTAGTAGGCAATAAATTGGTGATGTGGCGGTTGCACTTGTAGTCAATCGTTTGGGTTTTTTTGGGTTGCGGAGCAACCTATTACGATCGATTTTGCCGATTTTTTTTTGGGTTGCGGAGCAACCTATTGCGATCGATCCTAAGGAATTTTTTTTTCAAGTTTGTGATTTGGAAAAAACTACCAAATCTTTATTAAAAAAAGAATTTCCAAAAAAAAATAATTTCCCTAATTGATTTGAATCTAAAATGTTTGTCGTTGTTTCCCATGATTTCCAGTGGCGTATTTTTGTCATTGACAAAAATAGGCTATCGCTTCCCCAGCTAAGTGGGGGAAGTCGAAAGCCTATTATGTCCGTGAGATAATACATTTTATGATAGCAAGAAAATCATCAACAAGCAATTTTTTTTAGACAAGCAATTTTGTGAATACCAAAACCTGATTTACTATATCGATTTCAAGTCAATTGACCGCACTTACAGAGAGAGTCAAAGGACCTTCACGAAACGATAAAAGCAATCCAGATTTTGAGACACACAAAACGTATTACCACGAGTGCCCATGCACAACACACAACAGGACTGCATGCACCTAGCAAAGGCCAAAACAATTCAAAACAATAAAGTATGCATTATGCAATAAAAAGATAGCAGATGCATAATAAGAGTGGTTCAAAGTTTCGAACCTGCAGCCAGATCACAAGGGTTAGCAGAATAAGAGACATGTGAAACCTGGATAAGAGGACGTAAAAATGAAGAGAACGACAATGAACAAAGAAAACATGGAGAATTAGGAAGTGCGACGTAAGGAACGATTTCCCGTAATGGTGGGAGAAAGGAAGAATTGAGACAAGGTATGGACGAGAGCAGAGGAGAAGGGCATGGCGGGAGGGTAGAATCCGTACCTTGAAATAAAGTTGAAAGGTGATTACCCGTGGTTCCTTAACAAGCTAGAGCACCTAGAGACATAAGAGATATGGAAAAAGTGAGAGGATGCTTATTTGTTGGAGGAAAACAGCAAGGAATATAAGAAGAGAGAGGCCTAGGGAAAGAAAGGAGGGAAAAGCTAGCATGACTATCCAGCTAGGAGGTTGACGACAATCTGAGAGAGAAACGATGACTTAACCCAACTATGGGATGGCCTTGGCTGGAACGCTAGAACGCTAACTGCTGGAGGTGACGAGAAAGCTGTGAGATTTAGGAATGGAGGAAGAATTGTGTGAGAGGGAGAAAGAAAAGTTGGAGAATGTGGGTGGAACGGCCAGGCTCTCGCAGCTCTGAAGGAAGTTCAATCTATTTTCTCGTTTCCATCAGAAACTGCCCAGCTAGATTGCAATTTGTGAACTTGTTTTCGAGCTTGTGAGGGCGTGTTTTATCTATTTGACTAATTGTACGTGTTGCATTCAATACTACGGAACTACGAGTTCGAAATTCATTGTTTCGCGTATTGCCAGTTCCACAACCAACTAATCGGTGAAAATCAATGAAATTCGAAATTTAAAATACGCCCTCGTAATTCGCGTCGTTGAAAAAGCCGGATCGCCGGAACGCGTGGCAGAACAAATTTCACGTCACTGGACGGCTACAGTATTTTCCGTCAGAAATTGTGCGCGTGACGAGCCTCGCCGCTAGGCGCAAAAAAAAAAAAACTGCCAGGTGGCAACTTTCGCCACCGGGCAGGGAAATCATATCGCACAGTATCGAGAAAGACGACACTACAACGAAAACGAAAACGAGATAAAGTAAGAATTGTAGCGTAATAATATACAATACAGAAAAGTAACATAAGAATCTAAAACATGGAAATAGAAGAACCAGCTCTAGGTGGCGGTTTTCATGCTTGGCAGTCGTGACATGTTCATAATTTGACTAATATAAAAACACAGAATATGTTTCATTTACATACACTTCTAAATGTTGTATACTTCGGGTTTGGGTTATTTCTGAGTAGTATACTAGCAAAAGTATTTTTTTCGTCTTTTTATACAATAGAGCTCCGCAACCCTAAGACGATTTCGTCGCCTCTTGTTTTCACTCAAAATTTTGGAAGGAAAACCTTTGCACAATAAAATGTGACCTACATATTTTTTTCCTATTACTATAACAAGATGACAGAGGTGTTTATCCTATGATTGTAATTATATGCATATATTTTGGAATAATATTTGCATTATATTTGGCTGATTTTTTTTTGTACTTGAAATTTTGGCAGGTCTCTTATCTGATTGCATCATATCGTTGTGTACGGATCCAATCGAGTCCTGCAAGAAAATTCATGTCATAATTGATGACATGAATAAAAAGGCAAGTGTGATGATTATGTGTGACAGTGAAAAACTCAAACTCTAGGCTACCGCTTCCCCAGCGCTAGCATGGGGGGGAAGACAGCAAGCTTAGTGTCTGAATGATTAACTGTGACATGGAGCAACGCAATCTGTAAGGTCCAAAAAAAGAACCAAACCTATCAAATCCAGTTCAAGAGACAGAAACTCAAGGAGCTCGCCTGTGAACCTTTTGTGATTTGATAAGCATGCTTTCTTTTTTTGAAAGAAACAGACGTACATTGCTAATGGAATGAATTGTGGATCGAGAATGAGAGCAAACAAGAGCAGCAAGACGCATCCAACCAAACACAAGACGCCAGCAATTATAAGAATATAAAGCTGAAAATGAGATAACGGAACAACCCCACAAATTACAGCTGAACGCCATACAAAGCTCATAAACTCGTTTACAAGAAAACCTGCACAAAATTAAAGTGGATGAAGGTGGATAGTGGATAGTATATTAGGCATTGCGTATGGAAAGAAGTGAATAACAATCAGCTAGGGCGAGAATGAATGAGCATGTGAAGTGAACACAAAATGTGATTGTGAAAGGAAAGAGACGACGAGAGAGGTAAAGAGAGAAGTTGAAAGAGAGGTAGAGAGAGAGGGAGAGAGAGAGAGTGAGAGAGAGAGAGAGAGAGAGAGAGAGGGGGGGGGGGCAGAGAGAGTGAGCGGGGCATTGCAAGAGAGAGAGAGAGAGAGAGAGAGAGAGAGAGAGAGAGAGAGAGAGAGAGAGAGAGAGAGAGAGAGAGAGAGGTAAAGGACGAGAGGGAGAGAGGTAGAGAGAAAGGGGTAAAGAGAGAGAGGGCGAGAAAGGTAAAGAGAGAGATATTGAAAGTAATACGCGGAATCGAAGGAAAAGAGTACAAGATTATGATAAAAACAGAAAACGAGCAGAAAACGGAACGACACAGATATTGAATGGAACACGTAAGCGAGATAGGAAACGAAAGGATAAATGGCACAAGGATTGAATGGAACGTACAAGGGAAAACAACGAAGAACTGAAAAGTAAGGAGGTGACGAGAATGGAAGAGAGAGAGGGAGAGAGAGAGAGAGAGAGAGAGAGAGAGAGAGAGAGAGAGAGAGAGAGAGAGAGAGAGAGAGAGAGAGAGAGAGAGAGAGAAAGAGAGAGAGAGAGAGAGAGAGAGAGAGAGAGGGAGAGAGAGAGAAAGAGAGAGAGGGAGAGAGAGAGAGATGATAGGAGAGGCTATGGGGGAAAGAAAAAGGGCTTGTGCTTACCGCGTTTCCAAGATGCGAATTTAGGATGAAAATGTGGGAAAAATGTAAGAGCTCGACGAAAAGGAAGGGGAAGGAATCCAGCAGAGAAGAGGAAAAACGGGTGAGAGGAGGGGTTAGAATGAGTGTCATGCATCTATGCTGAAATCGACCACTGACATTTCCATAGCTAGAGAAATCTATCGTGCCTTGGGAGAAATCAATCGTGAAGTTGGGAGAAGTCTATGATGCACTAGCTGTTGGAAGAAAGTTGAGTCCGAGATTAGGATAGAGAGGAAGAGCAGAAAGGTGCTCGAAGACTACGGCTGAAACAGCTGCTCTCTGAACCCTCGAGCGGACCAGCTGCGTTGGAGCCACGTTTTTGCAGCTCTGAAGAAACGTTTTTTGGGTTGCGTAGCAACCCTTTATAATCGGTCGGTGGACCGATTTCGGACGACCTGGTTTAGTCAGCCTAATCACCCGCACTACATATTGTTTCCAAGTTTAATGCGTCGCTCACTCTAAAAACACTAGTTTTTTTTTTTCCATCTAAAATTGGTTGTCTATAATCTGAATGTTTACGTTCTCCGATAGAGAATCTCTACGTATCCATTTGTTTGTTGATTCCTTTTACTGTAACTCGGAAACTTAGCGTCTCTCAAAAGACCTTTCTAGCTTGCATAAAAAAATCTATGTTTTTCGCAATTATTATGTGGTCTATAATGGAGACGACATAATAATTGAGCAACATAGAGTTTTGTAACGATTTTCTAAGCTTTCTATGAATGATGAGAGAGGCTCGAATCATTCGCCGTCGATAATTACGGCGGAGAATGACTGAACCACAACATCACCACCACCATTTTCAAAGCATGTACACAGAACGCATCTTACCCACACACACATGTAACAGCTTGGCTCGACACAACAACAATACAACACAACAAAAAGATCGCGAATGCAGTAAAAGAAAGCATCAATGCATTCGTGCCACATTATAGATTGACATGCCCGTTATGGGCAACGACAATCGCACATTGTATGATGCACTCGGCATAATCAGCATCGTTTCCCTGCACACACACACAATTCACAACGATGTACAACACTTGCTAACAAACAAAAACATTGCAATAGTGACTGCAAAGGAAGAAATGCATCAATGCTTTCGTGCTACAATAGAGATTGACATGCACGGAATGAGAAGTAATTCCCCAAACCGGCAACGACAATCGCAAATTGTGTGATGCACTAGGCATAGTCAGCATCCTTCCCCTGCAAGCACAACGCAACGCAACACCGTGCAAAACACAAGCCAACAAACTGGTACGCACGTTGTCAACAATGGTACCATGCAAACGCACATACACAAGCAACGCGGCATAAAAAATCACAAAACAACAATGCAAATGCACGCAAGTCAAACACGAAGATATAATGGGTAGCACGAAAACATTACGAAGTCAACTTCAAATATCCATGAATAAATGCTTTGACTGGATTTGGAATGAGAAGTCTTGGAACGTGATGACTTGAATTTCGTCGACTTGGAATGTTCTTGGAGTGTGACAAACTTGAACGTGATAACATGACTGGAGAGGATAACAAGAGGAGAAAATAAGAGGGAAGAGCTTGAGACAGTAGCAGCCAGAGACAAACTAAAGCGATTAGGTGGGGATGCGAGGGAAAAAACAGTACAGCGGAGACGAAGGCAAGAAAGACGGACAAGGAGAAGGGAGCAGCAACTGCAAGAGAGAAGCAACCACTGAAATGAGAAGCAAACACAGGGCAGAAACAAGTGTAGGGGAAAATCAAATACAGAAAGGAGAAGGAGCAAGGGAGAGCAGCACGGGCAGGGAGAGGGTCACACAGAGGGAGGAATGAATAGGCGGAGTAAGAATGGAGAGGGGAGACCATAGGGTGGAAGAACGTGAGGAAGAATGGTTAAAAAGAGCTGAGGGGGGAATGGAGGCGAGAAGACAGGAGTGGGAAAGAATGGAGGGGAAGAACAGAGGCAAACAGACAGGGGAAGAATGGATGGAGGAAGAACAAAAAAACAGCGAGAGGGAGAGTAATGTATACCTGAGAATGGGCTGCACTTGGGCTCGTAAGAATACAGATTGCAAAGGCAATAAAGCAGAGGGGGGATGAGGTAAGAAGAACGCAAGGGGTAAAGGAAAGGGGGGGGGGGTGGGAGAGCGTTGGTGAGGAAGAATGGAAAGGGAACGGCAGAGGGGGGGAGAGCAGAGGGCGGGAGAATGGAGGATGGAAGGAGGGAGGGGGGAATGGAGGGGGGAAGACAGAGGGGGGACAAACTGAGGGGGGGAAACAGGAATGAGGGAGACAATGAGAGGAAGAACGGAGGTGGAAAGACAAATGGAGGAAGAAGGGAGGGGGGACGGCAAAGTTTGAGGAACGGAGGGGGGACGACAAAGGGAGAGGGACGGCAGGGGGACGACAAAACGGAAGGAACGGAGGGGAGATGGCGAACGGGGAGGAAGGGAGGGGGGACAGCAAAGGGGG